TCTGGGGTCAGACAAACGTCTGCAACTCTGCGATGCTTGGGGGGCGTGATTATGTACAGTAATAGGTAGGTAGCTGAGTACCTAGTAAATGGGATGGGATGGGTAGGTAGCGATAGCACCCCAATATAGGCGCTCGCCTGCCAGTTTCTGCCCTCGCCAATCATTCCAGGCTAGCTGTGTTTTGCAAAAGTAGTTCTCCTGTTGGGAACCAGAGTTTTTCCTCGACGCCTGTCTAGATTGCGCGCGTTGACGCAGGGCAAAGGCGCCCGGCTCTTGCGTGGCGTTTCTATTTGGGGTGCCAACGCGAATCACGAACAAATGTCACAAGGACCCGCTCACCCCATTGTCATCACGACCCACTGACCCACGTACATCCGTTGTGTCCGCCCATCACCTCGTGCCAACCTGCCTCTCTGACCTGTCTTTCATCTCCCTAACGTCACACTCGCTCTATTACCTATCCATCAAACGCTCGTTGTTACTCACAACTCTACCACACTTTTCGTGAAACGTGCCACCAATACTAAAACACCACACACCATACACCATACACCACACCATACACCGCACACCGCACGGCATTCAAACCCGCTTCCGCTCTTTCCGTCTTCCGTTTTCTTTTTCTGTTTCTGACTCTCACACCACCACTACAAACATGCTGCGAAACTTCTGGATTCTCGCCTTCGTTGCCCTGTCGTCCGCTATTAACCTCGGCGACAGTCTGCATATAGATGGCATAGAGGAGTACATTCATCAGGGTGCAAAGAGACAGGCTTCCGGCACGGGCAACACGCCCACTCCTAATCCACCCACGTCATCTGTCGCACCCCCATCCTCAAGACAGCCAACATCAACTCCTACACCATCCACCCCTATCAACACACCAACACCACCACCCTCGAGCACACCTGCCCCTTCCACACCACCACCCTCAACCCCGGGCCCAGCGTCGCGCACGCAACGGAGCAGTGCGGATGCGCCCCCGTCAAGCAACCCAGTGTCCGAGGCGCCTCGCTCTACTGCCATTGTGAGAACCAGCCATCTTGTGTCCACGTCACTGCAGACCTTCACCACCATCTTCACCACCGAGATTAATGGTGCCCCAACCGAGGTCACTTCCACAGGCACCAACTCGATCCCAGTCACAACTGGCCAGGCTGTCGTCACTGACCCGCCGACATCGCGAGCCAACGACGGCGACAACGGTGGCTTGTCAGATGACAACAAAAAAGTTATTGGCGGCGTTGTCGGTGGTGTAGGTGGTGCTCTTCTCCTCGGTGGTATCGCGCTTGTCTTCTGGCGCATGAAGAAGCGTCAGAGCAAGGTCACCGTTGACGATGATGATTTAACCCTCAACACCGGTGCTGCTCTTGGCGATAAGACAAACGGCACAGGTGCTTCGCCCTTCCAGTCGAACCTCGAGCAGTACCACAACCCTGGCGGACGCCCAAATGCGGCAGCCAACTTCTAAGCTGTTTATATTCAACTGCGTACATATGCGGTCTGCAAAGGACCGCTCACGATACCTATGACTATCCTAGTGGTAATTGAGCGCTACTACACATCTTTGTAATTTTCTTTTCTAGATTGGGTACGCAAGTATAGCATTTATTACAACAAGGTCTGGAGCATTTTGAATTGCTTAGTTTCATGTAATAGCAGGCGATAATCGACACTATACCCTCAGCATACTATGCCGTCATCATACATAAATCAAAAAAGAAATGTACAAACCATGTTTTATTTATAAGCATGTTCATGGTGGCATGATGAGACGTGACATAATTAACGACTGGGTAGTGTTCAGGGGTAGGTGTGATGTCTTGCGTTTCATCGTCGTCGCAACCGCTTTGCCAACCCTTCTCAAACCGGCTTCGCCTCCACTCCTCAGGCGTGAGATGTGCAGACGAAATGATGCGTGCGCAGCCGCCAGGTTACATATGCACGTCAGGTCGCCAGCGTGTTGACCTCAAGTCTGCGACTTTACGTTGTTGTTTTTTTTGCAGAATATTTTACCAGCGCTGGACGTTGACATCAAACCCATCCTCTCCTTCAACTTACGGCCTACATATACATTCAACATCTCACCATGTTCCAACTCCTACCTGAAACATTACTCAGCCTTCTCTTCGCACTCCCCGCCCTCTCGCATGCCTCGCCACAACCCGCCCTGGTTGGCAGCGACTGGGAAATTTCCTTAGTCCCACGACACACGCTCTTCCTGCGGCAAGTTGGCAATCTGCAAACCTTTGAGCAAGCCCTAGGCGGCGCCAAAGCATCCTCTATCACCAACTCTGGGGATCCACAGCGCCCATTCAGCGTGGATGGCGATACGTTTGATAGCTTTGATTCCGCGGCGCAAAGAAGTTGCGACAACCAGTTTCAAACATGCCAAAGAACAGCGAATGGAGCAAATAATAACGGCAATAACAATGGGAATAATAATAACAATAATGCGAATTCAAACAGGAATGGAAATGGTAACGGAAACGGTAATGGCAATGCGCGAGCCAATGCCAATAATAATAATAATAACAACAACAATAATAACAACAACAATAACAACAATAACAATAACAACAATAACAATGGCCAGAGGAACAGGAATAGAGATCAGAAAAGGCAAGCAAAGAGGCAAGATAGTGGGGGATTGACGGTGCAGCAATGCGATCAACAGAAGAGTCAGTTTAACCCCAAATCAGACACTAAGACGTCCAACATGGCTAACCCATACTTGCCAGGTCAGTGCAACTCTGCACAACAAAGTGCGCAGGTCAAGAACTTCCAGACAGGCATTCCAAGCACAAATATTGGGCCTGACCCGCAGTTTCCAGATTTTGATTTAATTTGTGATAGTTAGAAAGAGAGAGAGAGGGGGGATGGGTGTGTGCGGTTTGATGTTATACCAATAGACATTACTGGAATCCAATCGATATCAATGACTCTAGATCAACGCTAATAGCACGGCTGTTTGTAAATTACTTGTGGCGCAGAAATGCTTCTAGGTTAAAGGCGAGACTAGCCTATTACTTCTACATTTTTATTTTGCACCTTGATGCAGGCTGGTGTACATCCCGCGTTCCAACGCATCGCTACTCCACACATTTTTCACGACACAATGAATCTCAACTCCCCTGCCAATACCATCTCTTCATGTGTGAATGCGCCCCACCCACCGTCCTCATGGTGAAATTCAAATCTGCAGCGAGTATCACAAGTCCCGAGGATAAATATCAATGGTTCCCAAGTCGCGACCAGTGACAGCCAAGGCGCTGCAAGCCTTGCTCACACGCATCGGATCTGCTTCATCCGGAACCAAAAATGTCCTTCGAGAGCGCTTCCAGCGAGATGTGGTACGACCGCGTCTATTTGCGTTGCGACCTGAGCGGCAGGCCCGACAATCCAAGAGCTCGGACAGGAAACTTCGGATCATTAGCATTGATATGGGTATCAAGAATCTTGCGTACTGCGCTGCCGAGGTAGACTACCCAGGCGGCGATGCAATGAATCCTACCATGGATATTATCAGATGGGATAAGATTGATCTTGTTGGTGCTACACAAGGATTGCGTGGCCATCTGCCAAATCCAAAGCTTATCAAGGAAGGACCCGCAGATGCAGATGAAGAGGCGGACCCGTATTCGCTGTCTGTGCTATCCGAAACCGCGTACTATTTCATTAAAAACCAGGTACTGGAACTTTCACCCGACGCCATCCTTATTGAGAGACAGAGATGGCGGTCAGCAAGCAGTAGTGCAATCCAGCAATGGACCGTCCGAGTAAACACATTGGAAGCCATGCTGTGGGCTATTCTTAGGACTCTGCGCACAGAATACATGGCTGCTCTTCCGAAGCGGAAAGCTACGGATACAGCAAGTAACTACGAGATCGACGGCGTTGATCCGAAACGTGTAGGTCAGTTCTGGATCAGGCAGCACGAGATAGCAGCGGCGGAGAGCAAAGGCAAAGTCCCGTCCCTCGGCCTCGAAGAGGTAGATCAGGCCGGGAAAAAAGTCCCGCGAAGCAAGGCAGAGAAGAGGGCAAAGATTGCTCTCGTACGCTCGTGGATGTCTACTGAGCCCGCGTCAACTGCACTGTCAACGCCAACGTCGGCACCAAAGATATCATTCACAATTGGCCCAAAAGCAATCGCCGCACGTAATGCGCTTTGCTTCCCGACGTCCGCGCGAGGGAAAAAGGCAAAGGGAAGCGACGCTATGGAGAAAGATGTGGGAAGTGACTCGAAGGGAAGGGAAATCAAAAAGTTGGACGATATTACTGATTGCTGCCTCCAGGCTGCGGCGTGGGTTGCGTGGGAATCGAATAGGCTGCAGCTTTACGATGTCTGGAATCAGAGACAAGGAAGTAACGGAAGTATGCCAGGCTTGGATGAGGATATTCTTAGGGAGATGGTTGAGGTCGCTGGAGAGGGATGATGGAAAGTGTTGTCTGGCGGTGTTGTCAAGAACACGTAGACACAGTATTGGATCAAGCGGGAAAGCATGCGTGCTTCTTGATATAGCGCGTCCGAACGAATATTCACGAAACAGCGATGAGTAGTAGACTTATTTTCCTATCAGAAGATATAGATATACAGCGAATCATTTCTTCGTTGAAGAACACAAGACAGAGATAGATGCCAAGATGCCGAACTATACAACCAAAGAGCTAGTTAAACACCAAACGCACTGCCTGACATTAAAAAAGATTGTTCTATGTACATCAGATAGCACAATAAGCAAACTATATCAAAACTATACATCTACGCACAACGCAAACCTTCCCACCACTAGCCGCCCACCCCCCAGCGCCCTTTCACGTGCCCGCAAACCCATTTTTCAAGCCCCTCGCCCCCCGCTTTCACCCCAGTGACGTGGCCCACCCAACAAACCCCCCTCCATCCCACAGCCCCAGCCCCATCTCGCCCTTTTCCACCTCCCACACTACATGTACGCTGTATTTTGAAAAATTGCTCAGAAGTATTATATTTCCATCCACCCGTCTCAGTGGCGCAATGGTAGCGCGTTGGACTTCTACCCATTCTACTTCGAAATACAAGCCAGAAATAGATATCCAAAGGCTGTGGGTTCGAGCCCCACCTGAGATGCTTTTGTTTTTGGGGTGAAAGGGGTGTTATTTTGGTGGTTGGGGGCTGATGGGGGGTGAATAGGGGGTGGGTGAATGGACCGGACGGAATGCTGGCGCTCGGCATGGTTCGTTTTGGCTTGGAAAATTGGGAAGAGGCGCAGTTGAGATGGCCTTTCCTTTTGGCCTTGGGGATTAATGGATTGTTTTTTATGGTGGGTGGGGCCGCTGGGAGGCGGATGGGGCTGAAATTACCAAGTCCAACTTCATGCCGAGTTTGACATGGACAAGACGGAATACTGGAACAACACCACACATGTCTTCTGTAGAACATGCCGCTGCATAGATTCTATTTAGTCTTGTATGCTAAACAACGTCTACTAACATCGAAAGGCCGGATTAAGCATGTCAACGACACGCGGAACGCTTTTCATACTCGTTACTCGACAGAACTCACTACATAGAGATACAAAACACTACCCAATACACCCCGAAGTGTCCCCCTGTCCCATGGTATCTCTTGCCCCGCCCCAATAGCCTTCCATAGCAAGTAGCCTGTATCCAAACATGACTTTTCGTAACCCAATTATTAGACCGTGTAAATTTGCCAGCCAACATAACGCCAAATCCAGGCGGACCTGAAACCAACCATAGCAAAAAAGAAGAACGAAGAACGAAGAACGAAGAAGAATACGGTGTAGAGACCAGCCGGCTAGTCAATGTCATCAAAGGCGCTCGCGCTCATTGAAGCTCTCAACACGATCGGCAAACGATCGCGTCAATCCGACCGACGCCCAGAAGTCGTCGCTGACATCTTCACGACGCGACAGGCGTTCGAGAAGCAAGCGCGCCTCTCGAAGTTCCTGATCAAGCGGCGCAAAAGTCATGGAGATAAGAGGAAAGATGTCTTCCTCGCCGGCGAGCACGGGACCGTCCGCAGCACCATCCAGCTGTTCCAATTGGGGTCCGTCGACAACGTCCCGGGTGCGGGACGCTCTGCTAGGACTGCTCATCACGCCACGCAGACTCCTAGGCGGCGCATGGCTTGGGTTGTAGAAGCTACGAACGTAGGAGCTGGCATCGCGAGAACGCGCCATTACCCGCCTAGAGTATCGCTCGTTGTCACGGCGAGGGGGCTCATCTGCGAAAAGCGAAGGGCGGTGGCGGCGGGTGTTGACAGGATTGTAATGGAGTCTAAACCATTCTCCTATACCGGCTGTGCCGTCCTCATCGTCCTCGACCTCTGTGTCAGACGCCGTGTCGTCTTCCGAGGTATCGCAAGCACGCATGAACTGCTCATTGGTTGGAGGAGAGTGACGGCGTGATGGGACTGTCATGTGAGTTTGCGAAGATGATGCAGACGTGTTGGCACTGCCGGCTCGAGAGCTTGGCTGCGAATTGGAGAACGAGGCTGCGGCGGCGGCAGAAGCAAATGAGGATTCAGCCGTAGGCACATGCGGGTCAGGCACAACGGTGCTGAGGAATGTGTCCCATGGCAAATTTTCGCTAGGGGGGCTGAGGCTGCGTTCGCGGTCGCCCAAACCATCGATAGTAGAGACGGGGCTCCAGGACTCACGAAGAGAGCTGGCGGGCAATGGACCATCGGCAATGTTGCGACGGCCCATCCTCCGTAGTGGGGCAAAGCTAACGGCGTTGCTGTCACTGCTCTCGTGCTCGTGTTCGTCCTCAGCCGTGTGTGCGCTGTCGCTTCTCCTCATGGAGGAGTGGTTAGCGCGGGTGCTTTGCGATCGAGTGGGCCGTGAGTCTGACGTAGGGTGGTAGTAATTTTGGCCAGGCATGCGCGCTATGTTTCGCGCATCATCACGCAGAGCTTCTTCAGGAGTGCGTGATAGCGTGGCTGGCCCAAAGCCTGGTGTGAAGGCTGGCAAGGGGCGGTCACTGTCCAGGGCCTGGCGCGTCTCATATGCGCGCATGTACCCGAAGCCGTCAAAAAGGGTGGTTGGTGGGCGAAGTCCAGAGTCTTCTCGCTGTAGTGTAGGTGGCGCTCTCGAGGATTCACTAGAGCGGTATACAGACCTGGAGACTTCGGGAACTGGTGGTGGGGCAAGTCGAGTGCGGCTGTGCGATGACAGAGAGGGGGGCTCGAGGTAGGGCGCAAAGCGAGACGTAGAGAAGAGATAGTCAGGGTCGAATGCAGAGCGCGGCCTTGGTGATCGTGATGGTCGAATGCGACGACGGATTGGTGAGCGCTGGCCCATCACGTCGGCGCGCAACACGTCCTTGTCCTTTGCGTCCTCTCTTGCAATGTTCCAAGTGGTGGGGATGCCCATTGCGCCGGTGTTGTGAGTGGAGACGTCTGAAAAATGATGAAGTTGGGATGTGGTGTTGATGCAGACGCGCCCTGACGATGTTCGGAGGAGACCAGCTAAACCCCCGGATGTGGATGTGAGGCACCGGCGCTAGCAGAGGATGAATGAGGCTGAGTCTCAGAATGTAGACGATCGATCAAGACAGCAACCTTCAAAGAACAAAATGATATATAGATGGCAGTGTTTTAGTATGGTAGTATTGCAGTCGGTTGCACTTGCACTTGCACTTGCACTTGCACACACACTCACACTCACACTCACACTCACACTCACTCCCAGTCACAATTGCTGCTCAAAGTGCATTCAACAAACAATCAATGGCCGTGATGAGGCAGGCGCCACTAGCCTAGTTGCCATTTTCGGCAAGGGCGGCCGGCTTTCGTTCGCGCTTTCCTGTCCAGTGCCCGATTTGACTCATCAGCGTCTGCAGGAACAAGTTTCAAAACGTCAAATGTCTGCCTAGACAGGCGTTGCCTATGTTACCAATGTACCCTACCCCAGCTTGACGGACATGATCCAGCCGGGCTTAGAGCGCGTCAGCCAGTTGCTGAAGGATGTTCAGTTCCCGTGGAAGGCAATACACGTTGCTGGTACCAATGGGAAAGGCTCCATCTGCCATCACGCCTCGTCTCTGCTCAGGCGCAAACTTAGCCGTGTAGGAAAGTTTACCTCTCCACATGTGGTAGATAGGTATGCATCTGTTCTCGTGATCAAGTTTGGTTTTGGCTGACCGTCCTAGATGGGACTGCATCTCTATCAATGGGAGGGCAGTTAACGCTGCAAAATTCAAAGATGTAGAAACACACTACATGCAGCTCAATCAAAGAGACAACATCAATGCTTCTCAGTATGAGATTTTGACAGCCACTGCTTTTACCCTCTTCAACATGCACAAAGTTGATGTTGGCGTCATCGAGGTAGGCATGGGCGGAAAGCTCGATGCAACCAATATCCTCAACAATCAGGTTATATCAGTCATCTCAAAGATTGCCCGGGACCATGAGGGCTTCCTTGGAAACACTCTCGAGGAGATAGCCACACATAAGGCTGGCATCCTTCGGCCCAACGTGCCATACATTGTCAATCCCAAGAACGAATTCAACGTAAGTAGTGTCATTGATGAGTACGCAAAAGAGATTGGAGCAGGCCCGCGTCTCTTTGGAGATACTCCTGAGATTGTGAACGGTCTGTGTGCCACCCCACTCTGGAGGCGCTTTGCTGCACCATTGCGGCCCTTTCAGCAAGACAATGCCATCTTGGCCATTGTAGCTGTCATAGAAACACTGAATAGTATGGGAATAACCATCACCCATGCCGAAATTGGAGAAGAGCTTATCAAACCTCGCCACAATAGCAACCCAGGACGGTTTCAATATATCAAAGTCCCACCTGTGTTCGGCAGTCCTGGTGATCCAGGTAGAAGCATCTTGGTAGATGGAGCCCACAATCCCGACGCAGCAACAGCACTTGAAGGATTTGTGTCTGCTGAAAGGACAATGCGCATATACGAAGGACGCCGAACGAAAGCCGGCATGCCCGTGACTTGGGTGCTTGCCATGACCGAAGGCAAAGACGCACGAAAGTTCCTTGAAATCTTGCTCAGAGCCACTGATAATATCATCACAACTACTTTTGGCCCGGTCGACGGCATGCCGTGGGTCAAGCCCATGGACCCCCAAGCTCTTCTCGATGTCGCAAGGTCTATAGAACCGCGTATCAAAGGGATAGCCATCCCCGAGTCCGGAGTTCTCCGGGCCTTGTGTGCGGCAAAGTATATAACAGAAGCAGACCACTTGATTGTACTGACAGGCAGTTTATATCTCGGGGGTGACTTCCAACGTGAGATGCGCGACGTTGGATGTATTTTCGATCACAACCTGCACAAACAGGACAGGAAGGATTTCTGGTCCGCACCCGAGCTCGAAGACGACGTTATTAGGATAAAAGAGATACACAAACAGGAACACGAGCGCTACAAGCAGTACCGTCGCGACCTAGATCCAGACATCGTCGTGTACCCTGGGCAAACAAACAAACGCGAAAGAACAGAGAGCAAGAGAGAGCGATTATACTACGAACTCGAAGACTTACAGGGGGAACTGGTTCGCCTTGTGAACGAAGAACATGTGGAAAAAAACGAACTTGAAAAGATCGCGAGCGAAGTGGCTGAAAAGCAAAAACTTTTAAACGTGCCTCAAGAGCCCTCAGATATCAACGATCCTACCAACCCACTATCTCCTAAAGATGAACAACTCATCGCTGCTCAGAGCAGCGAAGTAATGCAACGTGATACACACGGTGATAATTCCGACTCCACTCTACCGGCCGATCCAGAAGAGTGTACCTCCTCGAACCCTAAATCAGAGACGGATACTGCCGATACACAGGTTGGCAGCCCGAAGATTCGCAAGCATACTACTTATGTGAAAAGTCGGGATCGTCGGAATATGCAACGGCCAAGCTTTATACAAAAAATGAAGGGGGAAGCATAGACTGTCCGTATGCCCAGGGGGGTTGCTCAATTGAGAGGTGAATATATATATATATGTTTTTGTTATGGATGATTGGGTATAGTTGGAGAGGACCAGCGGAGATATGTGGTAAATCTCGACTTCAACTTTTTTTGGAAGACTAAATTTCACATGGTTTCAACACATCTTTCATTCTCCAATAACAGAGGTGTTAGTCAGGT